GTACCCTCACTTGTGAAACTCACCAAGTGAACGTGAACGTTACTGTGCACAAGATAGTGCTGAGCATATGAAGAAATAGTAAGTATACGGAAAAAAATTATCAAGGCACAAAATGATACTTAGCTTGACAGTATCCAAGACACTGGGATTAGAAAAGTCAGAAGCCCCGGTAAGCAGTAAAGGATTGTTTGCCAATACAAGCGAACATGCGAGTCCCAGGAAGTTATTGAACAGAAGATGACACAATTGCTGGGACAATGCTTTCATTCGCTTGATGTTTCGGGATCCGGTTTCTGCACAGGTGTCTTGAATGACGAATACGCGACGGATCTCGAAACGTCAGGCGAGTAAAAGCATTGTTCCAGCGATCGAGTCATCATCCTCTTAAATGATTGGTTATACAAAAAATCTGAATTTTATTTATCTTTTGCTCAGACGTTCTTTAATGTAGCTTCTGTAAGGTTCTGGATGCTTAAAATGCAGCCGCTTAATTTGAAAAGGGGAAATCAAATTAGTAATAGTAGCGGCTGTCCGATGATTTACATTCGATTTTCACTCAGTTAGAGATCATCAGAGATTTGCATAGGAGAAAAGATAATAAAAAGTAAGGCTGTGAGCTTATTGCTCGCCATCTCTTCGCTGACTTCGCTGGTCAGACAGAATCGTAGGACGAAATGTTAGAGCAGGGGGTCACCACATTTGCTACTCGCGTCTGGCCTAATCTTCTACGTTCTGCGGCATAGTTTCTCTGACAGTAAGTGCACCAGCTCCGGTCAGGGACTCCAGACGTTTTCCTCAGTAAATTTTTTGGCCTGGCACCTGGCGAGATCGTCTCACTTGTGTGCGACCGATCGTCCATTATTGAGGCATAGCGGAAGTGCCAGAAACGGCGTTGGCCCTTTTCTGCGGTTCCCCTAAATTACACAAGTAGGGCGCTCCTATCAGGCCCATGGTATTCCTTAAAGGCAGTCTTACCCTCAGACTGACAAAGTGGGTGGTTAAGAGTCACACATTTTGTGGCCGTTGATTTCGAACACACAATCAGTTCCTCAACCAAATTCCACGAGAAACGTAACGGTGTTAGTGTTCTACTATCACTGCAAACCAAAATGCTGAGCTCGGCATGTAGATTGTGCGTTTATCACCATCCAACCGGATCAGGTGCTAAGTGCTCAAATAACCTCTCAAAGTCGTGTTGCCGGAAATGAAATTTACGAGGGCGGAGGAAGAAAACAATCAGGTGACCACTCTTGATGTCCTCGTCTGCCGCCTACCTTGTCGGGCTTAAAGGTCAAAGTGCTTAAGAAAACAAAAAATAAGATGTAAGCCCCTAAGGTTGACGATGACCACTCAATCAGCCACAGGTGCAGTTGCATAAGGACGCCATACCGACGTGTTGAGACGCATTGCAGTTAAGACGACAAGCTTGCTGAATTAAAATTAAGTGCGAAGATTTCAGGGAGCGAATGACTACCCGCGCAACTTTGCCAACCAAATAACACGAAAAATATACGAGTGACCAAATCCAACGGACCCTAAAGTTTGCCAAACTTTTCCGCAACTGGAAATTCATCAGCCGCCTTCTCACTCTTCTTGGAACTGTGATTCCGCAGAGACCGGAGCCAACAGTCAGGAATCGCAGCCGAAATACCAACTACTACCGCAGTAAAAGCCTGGGTTCGTTTATAGGATACGGCCCCTTTTCGGACCCAGCAATTGTCAGCGAAAATAGGAGATTAACTTGGACGCGAATAGCCGAGCCCACAGTAGCAGTAAGAAGAAATGACTTTGGCTGGCAGCTCACATCAGCTCACCCAACGTGTCCCGGCCATACTTCAGAATTTCAAGAGGCTAAAAATCTCACAGTGCGCTGCTCAACTCATGTTGCTCAGGTCCGCAGCCCTCCAACAAGCGCAAACACCCCCTGTTGTCATAATTTGGGCTGAGAATTTTTCAAGTCAAGGAAATCAGCCAAGTGGGAGGGCCCAGGCAACCAATAATTCCAGTTCGCCTTTTTGCTTCTATTAGTAATCATTCCAGTAACAACGACCTAGATTGTCATGTCAATTTATCACGTCATAATCCCACATGGCTAGTGAAATGACGGCAGTTAGCGACTTGGGAGGGCGGACTGATAAGCAGTAATCGCATCCTTTACGACCTCCAATGGTGATTGCGAGAGTTGATAGTTGTGCTGGTTGGATAGCAAGTACATCCTACGAATATTTAAATTCGAAGATATAAAGTTCTTATTGTCAATTTCCTTCCCGAACAGGCAAGTTTTGGACATTGAGAAGGGTCCTCCGTTTGTTGAGGCGGTTACTTTGGTGCGATCTCTGGAGAAAGAATTTTATTTGCGAGGAGCTACTGAATCACAATATCTACGAGGGGTACTGAGAGCGAATGGTTACTTGCGCAATTCTGTTAGCCAGTGCATATGCAGACGAGAAAAAAAACCAAATCCGATTGTTCTATCATTTTGGCGAGCTCTTCCGTACATGAAGAATGTATAAAAAGCAGTCAGCCGCCTGCTCACCCCACTTGGATTTGGAGATGCGCACAGTCCAGACGCAACCATCAGCCGTCGTGTCGTGAGACTGAAATATCCCCTGCCACGGCAAGAAACGGCTGGGGTCATTTACCGAATCTAGCACAATTGTGGACAAGGCAACTACCTCGGAGGAACTGGGAGATTCCTCCGGACGCGAATGGCTGAGCAGGCAGCGGTGGTGAGGAAGAATGACGCCAATTCCCGAGTTGCAGCCCACTCGAAGAAAGCTGGCCATATTTTCATGTTTGACGAGACTGAAATCCTCACAAGAAGTGACAATCGTGTGAGTCGCGAGCCGCTCGAATCATGCTTCTGAGGCCGACAGTCAATCTGCAAGTGCAGCGTATTGCCGCTTCGTACTAAGACATTGTCTCAGCAGGGGAATCAGTCACGCAAGAAGGACCGGGCCCAACAAACACTCCGATGACAGCGAAAATAATTCTCGCGCAATTCTCAAGCCCGCATCCTACACAGATGACGAAATTGCGGCTATTAATGAGTCGGAAGCGAACTGCCAAGCAATCACTGCACTAATTATGACCCCAAGCGGTAGTTACAGGAGCTGATAATTATTTTACGTAAGCGACTGGCCGCTACGAACTATAATTACCACGCAATCTGTACATGTCTCATGCTATCCTACGATGACCCACGATTAAGGCTTTTCGACAGAATCCGAAGCGTCAGGCAAATAAAATTCTAATTTCTAGAGATCGCATCCTCTTCTTCTGAGCTGCTTCCTGGAACTCTCATATTCACTTCTATCAGGTTCCCTTGATATTAAATTTGTTTCTATCTATGTTTAAATTATCCTATGTAGATTTAATCCTCGCAGTCATTTTTGTCCTCGCTTCTTTCAAACTTAGTTGATAAATGTTGTCAACGCTACTGATTGTCTTCGCAGTCTCTGTTGATAATGGTGGCGAGTCCTTCCTTCTTTGCCAACTTGTCGGCGGACTATGAAGTCCACAAAATCGTATCTCCGGCATTCCCGCGATTATCTCATGACATTTGCTGCCCCATTTTCGTTCTTACCTTGTTTGCCGCTATGAGCTCCTTCTGTCTCACCTTTCTGGCGGTTGTGGACAGTAGACCGAGATTTTATATGATCCCCCCATAACGAGGAGCGTTACAAGCCCTCACACGTTCTTCTTCTCATCAGGATCCTAGCTCACTGCATAATGTCAATCGAATGATCCATTTTTGAGCGATGAATTTTTTCTCCGATATTTTTTTTGAAATTTGGGACTCGCTGAACTCTGCCGTCAATTTCAAGTAAAATTTTTTCGGTCTCTGCTTCTTTCTTATTTCAACATATTAACCAAATGTTGTTGATTATTCTTCTAAATGACGGGCCGTTGTGAATCGGAATTGACATAATCTGTATACCGTATACTGTTGGTTGTACAGTTGCTCACACAGGCCTGTAATCATTTTTTTACCATAGCGGTAATTTTACAAGGGAAATGCCCCTTGAGCGTTAAATATACAATTTATTAACTTAGTAACAGTCTATTCTTTTTGCTCCACTTCCTCCATCTGTGACTGTCTCTGAGCAGGTGGTCGACTGTGAAGCCGAAACGCCAGGCCAATAAAGTTCGTGTTCCTGCAATCCCATATTCTTCTTCTTAACTGCTTCCTGGAACTTGCCTTTTCGCTTCCATCGGAATAAATCCGCCCTCAGTACTGCTTAACTTTGTCCTCTGATAGAAGAACTTACTGTCTGTGCTTTCAGTTGATTTAATGCCCTTTGATCTCTATATGAGTGTAGCTATAATTTATTCCACCAGTAAATCAGATACATAATCAATGCACGCTTGTAATTTACTGCACAAGAGCTTCGCTAACAAGAAAGAGACAGTGAATTCTTCATCGCTGCATCTTTCTGACCCTGAACGCCAGGTTGCTTAAAAAAATGTTAGTTCGAGTCTGCGAGCAATCGAAAAGTTTTTAAATCAACAATTCTATCACTTTAAGGCTAAGACTGAAAATTGACAACGCCCCTAATCCGTTCTGTTTGCGAAAAGAAGGCTTATATTTTCAAATTGTAACTACCCGTTGATTACTTCCTAAACACCGGTTTCTCGAATATTGAACAATATCTATGTCCCTTAGTCAATAAGAGACCGAATGTTCAAATCAGTAGCTGAAACATATTCACCGATCGGGTCATTAGGGAATGAAATAACAAGATTATTACGCAGCTTTCGTTACGCAAGTATTAGTTATCAGAAGTTTAATGTTCATAAAGAACTATTCACAGCTGTAATCTCACAATGACTTAACCAACTAAACAAACGTGATCGTAAACAGAATTTGTAACGCAATTTAGACAGTCAAAATCTAGCCAACTGGAAACAGCTCACTTATTTTCTCCCCCTGACTCTAGGGGTATTTAAGAATTTCTCAAATGATAAGCAAATGATAACTGATATATAAAGAAAACTGGCACTAGGTCAGCATCACATATTTAGCGCATTCGTTATTCAGATTTTGTAATGGGGACTTTGCCCCAAATAAGCGGGATATTGTGCATTGATTCGTATGAACGTAGATGTGAAACGCAGGGTCCCTAAAATATCTGAATTTTAAGATAAATTGGGACAACTGTCGGGGTTGTTACGGAGACACAGTATGAGTACACAAGGCACTTCAATGAATAAATTTGACTTCGCACGCGCCAAGGGACCTTTATCACCGTTTCTATAAGGGAAGCACAGAAGAGCATGCGAGAAACATAAACGTGTAAAATGTAGCCGTAAATAGCACATGGGAGGACTTACTTGTGTCACGGAACTTCGATTTGCCAGTCCATTAAGGAAGTAAAGGAGACTTTGCAGGGCGATTCGATTTTCGTCAGGAAGACTAATAACGGCCCACCGAAGGAGAGATAAGTTGGCTTCCTTCGAGTCTTGAAAAATATCCAAAAGTAAGTTTCGCTGTGAAAGTTTTCAAGTGTAGTAAAATCATTTAAGTGGAAAAGTCAGGCGAAGCCTCTTGCCCCACTCGAACTGACAGTAGGAAGGATTTAAATTAAAAACACCATCCAACGAAATCTGGCAAGTCCCCGGTTAAAGTCCGTAAATTTACTCAGGAGAGACAAAAGATGTACATGTAACTATTTATTTGAATTTATTCCAACAAAAAATAACACTGAGATAAAGACAATATTGAATTTTCATGCTCTTTAAGACTGTTTCCCAGCTGTCAAAGTGCGGTTACTGTCGTAGAAAAGGATTAGGAAGGATAAAACTGGAATATTTTACTAACAAAACATTTAAGCCCTCCGTAACAATATTACGCATAAAGGCTTTTATTTTTCAAGTAGTCAGCTAGAGTGGTGAGGGGCAAATGCGCAGTTAATATCCATAGGGTGAACTTATTAAACCTTGAGTTAAAAATTAAAGACTACACTTATCCCCAGGATGAGATGATAGAGATTGCAGGTGGATTGACACAAAAACCGTTTCCAGTCTATTCTGTTTTCAATACAAGCGAATACACAATTCCCAAGAAGTAGTTGAGAAGAATATTCCAGCGCTAAAACAACACTTTTGTTCTGCTGACGTTTCGACATCCGTCGCAGATTCTTCATCAGAGACACGAGCAGAAAGCAGCAACAGAAGCGGGTAACACATACACGGGAATTTGCTGTATTTATAGGATATCTACTTGCATCACGCATGATGAAAGTTCGGCAAATCAGGTCCTGCGTGTCGGTAATTAAGCAATCAATTCACAAGAAGATAATTATCCTTATTTGTCGTTTTTTGTCTTAGGTGTGCAGTAAAGACTCTTTCCTATAAATGCTGCAAATTTCCTTGCATGTGTTACCCGCTTCAGCTACTGCTTTCTGTTTATGTCTCCAATGAAGAATCCGCGACGGACGTTGAAACGTCAGACTGATAAAAGTTCGGTAAAAGAAGTTCTTTGGGAAAGAGTACTTTAATGTGTGAATTTTCGACTTCTGGTTCCCCAGTTCGTCTTCAGACAGCATGAGAGTTATGCAAAAAACAGCCAGCTCAACACATGTTGAGTTAGTTGTTTTCTGCATAACTCCCATGCTGTGTGAAGACGAACTGATAAAAGTGTTCTCTCAGAGGTCAAC